TATTTATTTTTTTGTATAATTTTTTATTGTTGTTTTTAATGGGACTTTTATCTGCTCAGCAGTGACGGAACTAGACTTTAATGGCTATTGGGGACCAGAGGGGGGGGGGAAAGGGAATCAAACAAACGTTGACGTTTCTGAATATTAACTATATTGAGTACAAAAGGAATAAGATTGCTGTGTTTAATTTGATTAATAACAAAAATAAAAATCTAAAACACACAACTTGGCATGTGTCAAAATGTGAATGACTTTATGAATGATTGGTTGAATATCAAGACAACAGAAGAGAAATAAAGTGAGGTTTTTATTTATTTCTCCAATTATCTATTTTAACTGTTAATTACTGAATAATAACTTAAGGCCAATATCTTCTCTTTTCCTTTATATGGACCAGAAGGGTTTTTTTCTGCTAAAAAGAAGTAAGTTAGTAACTTTAGTTAAAGTCAAATGTTGGTATTTCTTTACTTTTCTCTGAGTAACATTTTGCACTGATAGTTTTCCACCTCTGCAAGTTGTTTTGGGGGGGCAGTGCCCCTCTCCCCCGTCCTACTAGCTCCACCCCTGTTGCTGTGACTGCTATGATGTGGAGGTCAAGGTCAAAGGTAGATATTTTCCCTAAATTAGTTCACCCTGTTCTATCATACAGACATTCTAAATGCTAAGATCGTTTCATTTGTTTAAAGAAAAACTGTAGAAAAGTCTCTTCTGCTTGAGTTTATTTTACTTTTTTATTTGTTTTAGTTTCTTTTAGTCTGGAAAATGAAAGTAATGTTCACAAAACTCATTAAAAAATTTTAATTTCTTTTGGTCCTTTTCAACAAAATACTTTTTATTCTTAGTTGGATGCTACTTTTTACTTTTACTGAGGGAGAAACAAGTGGAATTAGAGCTACTTTTACTTGAGCATTATTTTCTGTTACTCTACCCACCTCTGCTGACCCCCCCAACTAAAACACAAACCCTCAGATAAATGCTTAATACTTTTTTCTACATACCAAACAGTTTGTCTCTTTTTTGTTGTTGCTTTTAATCCATCTAACCCTCCTTAACCACCCAACCTCACTGCACCATCTGTCAAGGACGACTGTGACGGTCAGTTCCAGCTCTCACACTGACTCCTGACACCGCTGCTATTTTTCATGCCTTCATAGCGTGACCCGCCGAGCACAGAGCTTTGATTCCCTCTGTGTCACATAAAGCGTTCATGAAACACAACCTCTCCCATCCAATCACATTTGATCGTCGATCGTCTTTAGACAAGCTCACCTGCTCAAACTGAGGTTCTCAATACCTCTGATTTATTTGATTAAAAGTTTGTCCATTTTTATGCTCAGAGTTCAGATCATGATTGCTTCTCTTATCTGCAACAGATTGAAAAAATGGGATGGATGGATGGGAGAAACTAGAAGAGGAAATAATTGAAAGAGAATCAGATTAAAAATATTGGTTTGAGCTTTTAGTGCACAAATTTTATGGATTTTTAACAGGCTTATTTTGAAACACATGAATACAAATTCTTATAAAACATTATGCTGGAATAAAATGAGAATGAAACCTTCCTACTTGTCATGCAGCCCCCCAACCCTGCAAGGCCAGGCGGGTATAGATATATAAAATTTACTTCGTGGCCAAAAGAAAAAAAAGAGAAAGGAAATACAATATATATATATATATATATATATATATATATATATATATATATATATATATATATATATATATATATATATATATATAATAAACTATTGGTATTAGTTTCTTTATATAATTTCAACTATTATCATTATCTTTATTTCTCATTTCTGACACAGACCAGAGGGAATGATGTGTTAATATATATTAATTTGTGATAAATACTATCATTCATTGTTACTATTATTATCAAAGTGTCAAAAGACAAGTAGTCAATAAAGTATCTGTGATGACAGTGCTAATGCTAATGCTAATGCTAACACCATGCTGCCAGCTGAGCTTCCTAACCCAGAGGAATTATTCCCAAAAAGCGGATTAGCTTCATTTATTAGGGATATATATATATATATATATATATATATATATATATATATATATATATATATATATATATATAAAGCAAAGAATGTCTGAACAATAAATATTAAGAACATTCTGGATGTATTTGATAAAATGTTAGTTATTCTACTTCCGTTAAAATAGAGTATACATTATTTATTTGAGTAAATGATTTTTTAAAAATGGGAGATTTTATTTTTTCTAGACACAAATTTAGATAAATCGTTTCTCCAATATCTAGATGTTGAATTTTATATGAACTAAGTTTGATTCAGAGCTCACAATAATCAAATTGTTAACTTTAAGGTTCTGTTGGTTACATTAAAACTTTGCTTTTATTGCCAGTAGTGATAAAATAATAGGTAGTAATTTACTACCTATTAGTGTTTTAAAACTTAAAAGCCTCCAGTGTGTGTGTGTGTGTGTGTGTGTGTGTGTGTGTGAGGTGTCCCAGCATCTCTCCAACTCTAACGGATTGACAGCATAAATGGAGAGGGAGGGGGGGGATCTGTAACTGTGCAGCCCCACAAAGGTCGCCAGCGGTGAAGTGACAGCTTCCACGCACAGCCGCCAGAGAATCGATGCGGTGCCAGCAGCCTCCAGTGTGTGTGTGTGTGTGTGTGTGTGTGTGTGTATGTGTGTGTGTGTGTGTGTGAACAGTGTCCCATCATCGACCATCAGCTGAGGCCAATAAGGCGATACTGTAACTGGTAGCTTTCAATTTAACCCCCCCCCTCCCTTCAAAAAAAAAAAAAAAGAAGAAGAAGAAAAAACTCTAATAAAGAGATTGATTCTCTTCTTGGTTCCTGGATGAAGCGCATCCTGACTGACATGTTTAGGCATCGCTTTGATCTGACCTGTGGAGGAAGAAGACTTTTCTGATTATGGGATGTTTGTGATTGGCTCTGCATTGGGGGGGTGGGGGGTTCTGCTCATAATATCATGTCTTTGTCTTCTTCAGTCCGTTGAACGTTTTCTAGCGAATAGCGATGGTGAAAAGTGTCAAAGAGACTCAGTAAATCGCAGCCAAGGCCTCATGCTTTCTGCCAAACAGACATCAGCGGCTCTTCGCTTTGTCGCCGCCTGGTGGTGAAACCTTGCAGCGCATCTTGAAGCTGGAAGAGAGAGAGAGAGCGGGGGACACTGGGGTTTCATTTCGAAAGATACACTTTTTAAAAATAATTTAGAAACATATTATATATGTAAAATATGATTAGATTTTAATAAATACAATAAAACGGATTTAAGATCCGGAGAGAAAAATAATTCAAGTAAAACCTATTTTAATAAAAAAAATAAAACTCATAGTGAATAGAAACGAAAAAAAAAGTATATTAATCGTTACATCATTCTTAAAATATATTTATTTATTTTGATTAAAGCAAAAATTAAAAACCAAAAGGGGGAAATAAAAGCATCTTTTTGTGGAAATAAAATGATTTGGTGTTATTTAAAAAAAATTTATCTAAAATGAGTCAATCTATTTTTATTTATTTATAAATATTACGAAAAGCTGTCAGATAATTTCAATTAAAATAATCCTAAATGGTAAATATAGGATCAAACCTGCAAATTTTTTTGCTTCCTAATTTCAGCATCAACAGCATCACACTTCATGTTAAAAAAAACTGCTGGAGGAATTTTTATTTTTTATTTGTTTTAATAAAATTAACAAAACCGGAATCAATTCATTCGCATTATTCGTTTTGATAATTTTTTAACTTCGGAAGGAGAATTTAAGACATGAAATTATTGCGCATATGAGAGTCATGCAGCTCCCTGTCAGCTTCTTCTTCTCTTTTTTTTTTTTAACCTCGCTTCAACATCCTTCAAATCCACACCGGGGGAAAAGTGCTGAATTTCCTACTACCTCTGAACGCTCATTAGCGCCTCATAATTACTTTACTAATTAGGGTGACGTGGTTATTAACAGGATGCGCTGCCATGAGAGGCTCCGCTCGACCTTCCTGCTGGATCTGCGCGCGGATTCGTGGCAGGTGCCGCTTATCTTTGCGCATTTCTCTGGATTATGGGGGAATATTTTACGCATTTAATGCGCCAGTCGTCCAAAACCGTAAAGCTGAAATAAAAGTTAGCAATTTGAAGATTTTTTTTTTTTTAAATTAAAGAGGAAAATATTTTTTTTCCTACCATGATGATGAAGTTGGAGATTTAAAAACAGGATCCATCTTTCAGAGGTAAAATAATAATAATAATAAAAATAAAAAAAAGGATATCCAACATTTAGTCTTGGCTTTTAAAGTGAAAAATAAAAACATTTCCAGTTTGGTTACAAATTTCATGCAAGTGATGTTTTTTATTTAAAGAAAAGAGCCGCACTCTTGAACTCTCACGCCTGCGAGTGTCTGTATGAGGAAACGCGTCTCTGATTGGTGACTCTGAGGAGCCGGTCAGGATGCAAGCCAATGGCAGCGGGGGTAAGAGGAGCCAGGGTGGGTAGGTGCTGAGATGGGGGGGAGGAAAAGAGAGAGAGAGGGAGAGAGAAAGGGCGTCTAGTGTTTATTATAAAGGAGAAAATATTAATTCCCCCCTCGCCGTGGGCCGTGACGTCAGCATAGGAAGTCATTGTGGAGCAACACCGGAGCGATTAGCGGCAAAAAGGGGGAGCCTGATGTCGAGGAGTCAGCCCTGTGTATGTCTCTCCATGCGCCTCAACTTTTAACTCAAAGTTCAACATCCAAACAGAAAAAAGGAGCAGAAGAGCCGCACTTTGTTTCTCTGAATGTAACGTTGGACCAGAACTGGAGTTTCTTGTTGTTTTTTGGTTTTTTTTCTGTCTCTCTTGGGTTTTCTTAACTTATTTTCCCTTATTTTTATTTTATTTTACATTTTCCTGACTCCACTTTCTTGTGAATCTATATCCATCCCCTCCAAACACCCCTTTCCTTTTTTTATTTTTACCAACACCTCTGGAGAAGCAGCTCGCTGTTGTTATGAAGGCTTCATCCGTCCTTTCTTAACATGGAAGCATCCAGCGGAGCGAGTTTTGGGATAGACACCATTTTATCCAGCGCCTCAAACTCTGCTAACCTCATGAACGGAGACTTCCGGACGGATTTCAGGAGCCAGGCCACCCCTTCACCATGCTCGGAGATAGACACGGTGGGCACGGCCCCATCCTCCCCCATCTCGGTCACCATGGAGCACGGCGGAGAAGCGCATCTGGTCCCGGACAGCCTTCAGCATCAGCACCACCTGCACCATCAGCAGCAGCAGCAGCACCTCCACGGCCAGCAGCAGGGCTTACCGCTGTCTCCTCCTCTGCCTCCCCAGCAGCAGCAGCAGGTCGGGGGGCCTCCCAGGACTGCCACCTCTTCGTTTTTAATCAAAGACATTTTGGGAGACAGCAAACCGCTGGCGGCCTGCGCGCCTTACAGCACCAGCGTCTCCTCTCCTCACCACACGCCCAAACCGGAAAGTGCCGCGGGACCGGACGTGTTCAGGCCCAAACTGGAGCAGGACGAAAACAGGAGCAAGTTAGACAAAAGGGACGATATTCAGAGCGAAATGAAATGCAACGGTAAGAGTTTTAATCTGGGCGAGAAATTATTTAAATTACGCATTAACCAGAATAGTAAAGAGTTTAAATTAAATTCCTATCATTACAACATCACTAATAATAATAATAATAATAATAATAATAATAATAATAATAATAATAATAATAATAAGGATCCTCTCTTGCTGTAATTGATGTGAAAACAGATGTAAGCCTTGTGATTCTCCCCGTGCGTGGGGCCTCCCTAGTGGGTCAATTAGAGAGATTATTGTTCTTCCTGGAGGGGGGATTATAGCGCCCTGAAACACGGCTACAAATAGAGATGGATTGATATATTGATGTCTCGTTTTTTGAAAAAAGAGAGGAAGGGAAAAAAAGAAGAAGGAAACTTCAGGTGACAAATAAGCAAGAGTTTCTTCTCTTTGCGCTAAGTTGGAAAAAAGTTTAGTTTGCGCACTTTTCCTAAAATTGAATACTTCTGGGGGAAAAAATAGAAAATTATGGTTTAGTGTTTGAAGATTAATTAGAAACTATTTTACACGTTTTAAGGAACTAAAGAGGAAGGCGATCGGGAGATCTCCAGCAGCAGAGACAGTCCGCCGGTGCGCACGAAAAAACCCCGCAAAGCCCGCACAGCCTTCACGGACCACCAGCTCAACCAGCTGGAGAGGAGCTTCGAAAGACAGAAATACCTCAGCGTTCAGGACCGCATGGACCTGGCGGCCGCCCTCAACCTGACGGACACGCAGGTCAAGACCTGGTACCAAAACAGACGGTAAGAGACCCGAACGCACAGAACCAACCAGAGCAAACAGTTTACTCAACATCTGGGATTTTAAATAAAAACAGAAAATAACCAAAAAAATATATATGCATTTAAATTTAAATTAAAATTTAGATTTTTTTTTCCCAAGACCTTTTTTTTTTTTTTATTAATTTTTTTTTACATAATTCAAATCAAATCAATTGATTTTGGGGAAATAAAACATTATATATTTGAACAATTGGTATTAAAATAACAGATAAAAATATAAAAATAATAATGAGGGTAATCAGAACGCTGTTTATTTTCCAGGATATATTTTTAATCTTATAACCAATTAAAACCGTTGAACTGTTATTTTTTATATTTGAACAATGGGAGAAATATCCTTTTATAAAGAATTAAGAATCTATCTATCTATCTATCTATCTATCTATCTATCTATCTAGAAGTCAAATAAAAAGTGAAACTAAAATATTTGATCTTCTTTTCTAAATTCCTTAGACATTTATTAGTGAAATATTTTTAGTTTTATTTAAACTTGTTTATTTGTTTTGATTATTTGAGGTTGGCCTCAGAAATATGTAGGCCTAATAAAGCAGTTTTTTATTTTTAAATACCTGTTTGATTGTAAAAAAAAATCTTCTGACACGGGTTTGATACCACACGATTAAAGGTTAATATTTTAATATTTTTTATGTTATTTTCCATCCTAGAAGAATAAAGCGAATATTGATTATTTTGTGTTTAGATAGTTTAGAAATGTAGGTTTGCAGAAGTGGACTTTTCCTTTTTCTGTTTTACTTTAATGCCTAATTAAACCTCCACCGTGTATATTCTGGCTGCAGTAATTAGGCCTCTGCATACCAATCAAAGATGCGTTCAGGGACTCGGATTAAATAATTGATCAGCGGGATTTTTGATCTGATTTCCAGGACGAAGTGGAAGCGGCAGACGGCGGTCGGTCTGGAGCTCCTGGCTGAAGCAGGAAACTACTCGGCCTTACAGAGAATGTTCCCCTCGCCCTACTTCTACCACCCCAGCCTGCTGGGCACCGTGGACAGCACCACGGCGGCCGCGGCGGCCGCGGCCATGTACAGCAGCATGTACCGGACTCCCTCCACGCCGCATCCGAGCCTCCAGAGGCCTCTGGTCCCGCGGGTCCTCATTCACGGCCTCGGACCGGGAGGCCAGCCGGCGCTGAACCCGCTGCCCGGAACAGCGCATCCACGATAAAAAAAAAAAACAACAAACTAAACAAACTGGACGCTGCTAGAACGCGTGACGTGGGTGAGCGCGAAATGGAGCAAAAACAGGACTTCAAAGCTCCCGACAGAAACAAATAAAGAAAAAAAAAGACAGAAAAGAGACGATTTTATTAAAGACTTTCTGAGGGTCGCCACTGCTCCAGATTGCGCGGACCGGACTGCTCATGTCTGATTGTTTGTTTGTCTTTTGTACAAATACACTTACATTAGCAAATAAACTTATAAAGTTTATTAGATGGAGAAGACGTGAATGAATAAAGCAGTAATGATACTAATTGAATTGTAGATGATTATTGAAACCAGGGTCCAAATTTAAACTTTGGAAGAAAAAAAAAGATTTATTTAAACAGATCTGCATCGGACCATTTCATATCTATATTTTAAAATCTATAGCTCTAACACTGCCTTTTTTTTCTCTTTAAACTGATTTATTTCTGATTTAATAATTTGTTCCTGCAGCAAATGTTCCTTTAAAGTTAAATTGGTGATCAGTGGCTGGAGGTCACCTTAATGTTTGTGTTTACCAGCGGCAGCATGCATATGGATGCGCAGCAGCTGATTGGTGGTGCAATGGGGTGGTGGGGGGGTGAATGGTCCCGATCCACACTGGGAATGTGGCCTTGGCTTGGCAGCTGTTCCCTGGGAGCGCAGCAGCAGACAATAAGCCTGGATTTCTCAGCGCAGGGAAAAAAAAAACAAGAAAAAAAAACGAGACAAGACGCCTGTAAGAAAGTGGGGAGGGGGCAGGAAGGAGGGGAGGGGGGGTGAATAATCTGCGCATTCTCTAAAGCATGAGTGAACTTGTTTTAGGATTATTTTGGGGGGTAATCCCATGAAATTTGGTGCGTTGATAATCTGGATCTTTTTTATTTTTATGTTTTGGCATATTTTAGTTTCTGCATCCATTTTTATTTTATTTATTTATTTTTTTTGCTGCTGCAGTAAACAGCAAAATATTTTTTTTCTTCTGGCTCCTATGGGCTCCTAAAGTAGCCCCAGATTATAGGGTGAATTAGCGCCTCAGGGTGCGTTTGTTTATGTTACCATTTTTTATTACTATGAGGGAAACTGAATTTTAATTTAAATGCAACGGAACACATTTTTCTTCACTTCTTTTTTTATATTTGCTCAGCAAAAAAAAACAGAAAATTTGCATAATCTGGCTGAAATACAACCTTATGCTAAAAGTGTCGCTTTGCTTACGAAAAAAAACAAAAAAACAACAATGTAGAATGAAAATCAGCTTTAATCCTGGAAGCACATGTTATCTAAACCACCTGCTCAGATCCAACACTGGAGGACCTATAGATCAATCAAATATGCATCTAAAATCATAATAGCATGAAAACTTAAGAGGATCCAAGGCCAGAGCACCGAACGGAATTATAGATATAAGAATTTTACATCCAGAAATAGTAAAATAGTAATATTCATAGAAACCGCATTGACCCTGCAGCTTTTCGGCTGCAGCGCGCATGCATGCGTGTTGTTCATATGCATGACTTCTGCAGCATTATTTATTTATTGCGCTCGGCTGGTAGATGTGTGTGTGTGTGTGTGTGTGTGTGTGTGTGTGTGTGTGTGGTTGCAGCGGCTGTTTCCAGTTCATTAATAATAGGCTGAGGAGAACATCACAGCAATACTGAATTAATAGGGCCGCTACCTGCTGGTCTGGGGTCAGAATCCGCCTTTTTTTACCCACAAAATTCGTTTATTTTTATTCCTTTTTTAAAATTAGAATCCTGTTTTTATAAATATTTTGTTATTTTTTGTGCAAATCCAAAATATGGTTGGCAAGATTATTGAAAAACCTTTTTGGATCAAGCAGAATATTTGTTTATTATGAGGATTTTCTTTCTTTTTTTTTTTAATCCAATCACTGATAAAAAACAATAATAATAATGATAAAAATGGGCAGCAGACTTGAATGAAGAGGATTAGGCCCCTTTCTTTACGGTGCTGCATATTATCCAGAACAGATGGGCTTTAGAGGCTCGTTTTCTTCCTCCTCTTGCCTCAAGGAAACCTTGTTGGGGACTTTAATTGCCACTTTTTTCCCCCAACTGATGTAATGGTGGGGTATCTTTTTTTTTCATTACAATAATGAGGTAACACTTGCTCTCCTTGGCCTCTCGTTATCACATCTCCTGCATCACTCACTAAACACCAAATTTAACCCCCCACAGCCCCCCCCCCCCCCCCCACTCCCTCCAGCCACCCACAATCAAAGAAAGAAAGAAACCTTCTCTCTAATTTTGCATTCAACAACATGCTGTTTCTGCAGGACCTTTAAAGATGGATCCACTTTTTAAAAATGGAAGCACTAACAGGTGGAAACCAGCACTGCTGCCGAGGGTGTGTTAAACAACAGTGATAAAAACACAGAGATAAAACTGTTATCTTATTAATTGATTTCATTAATAATTCTTGGTTGAAATAATTCATGTTTAACAACTAAAAGTGACAAATTACAACCAATTTATCTACTTATTATTTTCTGTCTGCACCACATTTTTTCTTTAAGTGAAAGGAGCTTAATTTGACTCCCCAGATAAAAAGTAGGGGCGCTTTTATTTATTAGTCCTGATTTTCTTAATCTTTGGAGCTTTGTGATTGGCCGATACTTTATATGTCAAACTTAACCAATGTTTTACAAAGCTCCAATATCAGTGCTCTAAACGTCTCATTTAGTGTTTTCCATGTTTTTTTTTATTTTTTCACAGCTATTTTTTTAAAACATTAAATTTTTTTTGTAGTTTTATAACAAGTGTTATAAAGAAAATATAGATACCCGGATATCAAGCTTTCTAAAGATTGATTATCTGACAGAAAACACAAATCGACTCTCCCCTAAAACTCGGATCTTGTTTCTCGGAATACAACTGAAACCAAAAGTGCAACACCTTCATTTTTAAATTAAAAATGTTGAACTAAAACTGTAAAAAGCTTGAAAAAATTTGAAATAGATCATAGAAATCCTTGGGCCCCGTCCACACGAAGTCAAACCCTGGCCTAAACGCACAAATTTTTCACCAAACCAGCCTCTCATCCACACG